ACACTACCACCAAGAGGTGGGGACGGGGCTTGGGCGCTGCTGGGGGTTTATGCAGCAGCACCCTGTGTGTTAAGGGTCACACAGGTTGCAGGGGGGTCACACAGTGTCAGGTAGTCCTCGTTCCTCTGGGGTCTCACAGTCTTCACTCCTCTGGAGTTCCGCGGTAGGTGGCTGGCTGTTGTTCTTCCCAGGTCTCTTCCCGGCCACTCTCGCGGTGGAACCCTCTCTAGTGCCGGCGTTCTCGCACTGCGTCTCTCTCACTGGTGCTGCGTTGCTCTCGGTTTAGAGCTATTGTATATTGGGTCACTATGAGTATCACATAGAAGAATCGAGGGCACATAACAAAAACAACAATACATATTTATATTAAATAAAACATGTGTCTGTAAATAGAATATGCACATATGCATGAGTAACTAATTCTATGTTTACACATATGGTTTTGAAATATCTTGATTGTTGGACAAAAGTAAGAATAAAGAGAAATATCCTTTTTTAAAACAAATTTTATTGATTTTTGTTTTGCTTACAATATCCATATACATTGTTTTTCACCATATTCTTCATTCACCTTTTGTTTCATATAATCATTCCCATGTTTTGGCTTTATAATCCTTTCTACTTTTTCTCTGTTAGCTATTTATTTTTATTTATAATTGTTGTTAAGTGAAAATTAATTCCACAACATGAGAAGTTACAAGGAATTGAAGCATAATTACACAAATACAGTGTACAACCCAAACAGATGTATAGCAATCAGATATGAAGCAAAAGGGAGTGTTCATTTGCATACACAGTAGTTTGAGATGTGTTTAATTTCATTGTTATAGTATGGAATAATCTAACCAAGGGGAGAAAATGCCTTTGACTATCAAAAATACTGTGTTCATTTTAAGTAACTGGAGCATCTAAACATCAGTGCATGACAAAGACTTCATGAAGTGTCTTTTTTAAAAAGTGTCTATGTATCAAGGCACTTGTAAAAGATTTACTTTCCAGAACCAACCCTACGTTTAAGACCAGGTGTAACATTGTACAAATATTGACTAATACAGAAAGTGTTTCAGATGTATCTGATTCATACAGTCAAAAAGAAATAAGTATTTATAAAGAGTGTATAAAAGTTTGTAAATTTAATAAAAATTACCTTCCATTCTCCACTGCCCTAATTCTTGATTTACATTAAATTTAGCTCCTTCAAATGTTTGCCTTTTTTACTTCTAGATTTTTGGGGTTTTTTTTCTCCTTCGACAATTGAATTTTTAAACTGTAAAAAAATATTTAACATATGTAGAAATAAAAAGCAGCAATATTAAATTTGTTTATGTCAATGCACTTCCTACTCTTGAATCAGTTTAGCTCACTGAATCTGGTGGTTTTGCTGACTAGGTACAGGTGATGCCTATGATATGACTTTATAAATATGTAAGCAAAGTTTACTCATTATGTTTCAATTTAGGGTGCATCCCAATCCATCATTCCCTGACACACATCAATTATATAAAATGTCAAATGCAATGTCAAATCCAAAGCCTTAAAGAAGAGTTCAGTTCCAAAAACAAAAATTGGTGATAGCATAACAGTGGAAAACATTCTCTAGAGCTTAACAGCATTAAATGGTTGTTGTTGTTGTTGTTGTTATGTGCCATCAAGTATCTTGCAACTCATAGTGAGACTATGTACAACAGCTCTGAACCTTCCCCTATTATGAGCCAGTCTCATTGACTCTGATACGTCTACCCCCTTTATCCCAGTTATTGTGTCAATCCATTTCATCCAGGGTCTTCCTCTCCTACATTGTCTCTCTACCCCTTTCAAGTATGATGTCTTTCTCCAAAGACTGGACCCTCCTGGCCATGTGCCCTAACTATGGGACACAGAGCTTCCAAATCCTTGCCTCCAAGGAGAAACTTGGTCTGACCCTCTCCAACACATACATATTCATTCTCCTGGAAGTCCATGATATGTTTAAGGCTCTTCTCCAGCACCACAATTCAAAGACATCAATTCTTCTTCAGCTATCCTTAGTTATTTTCCAGCTCTGTGATACATGTCATGTAATTGTGAATACTGTAGCCTGGATCAGGCACACCTTAGTTTCTAGACTTACCTAATGACTCCAGCACTCTGGAGAGGTCAGTGACAGCAGACTTTCACAATGTTATTTATCTTTTGATTTTCTGACTGATGGTGTCAAGAGTGTTGATTGCGGAGCCAAGCAAGGTGAAATTGTTACTTATTCTCTTCTACATCCATCATGGTGTTGTTAATTGGCCCAGTGGTGAGAATCTTTGTTTTGATGTTTTGCTTCAACCAATATTGAAGACTACAGTCCTTGACCTTCCAGTACCACTAAAACAATACACAAGGGATTTATCAAAACATCTGTATGTTCCTTCTAATGTACATATAAATAGAACCATGGAAGCATTTTATAGTTGTTGTTGTTATGTGCCATAGAGTCGTTTCCAACTCATAGCAACCCTATGCACAACAGCTCTAAACCCTGCTCTATCCTGCACCAACCGCACCGCCTCTGACACACCCATCCCGATTATCCCAGTCACCGAATCAATCCATATCATAGAGGGTCTTCCCCTCCTGCGCTGTCCCTCCACCCTCCCAAGCATGATGTCCCTCTC